TCCATATACATGATCATCAACAATAAAAAGCTGGGGGTGATGACCTACATATCCTCCTCCTACATTCATCTGGCCTCAAACACGTCACATTCTGCTCAAATGTTGCTTGATCTACCGGAACATGGAAGAACTAAGGACCGGTTTACCATCAGCAAGTTGGAAAAGGCGAGCGAAAAAAAGATGCCAGAATAACGGAGTGATACTATGCAGTTTCAGAAAGTAACCGAATGTACATAGGTCCCAGCTGAAGCGACTTGATCGGTAAGTTCAAAATTTCTTTAAATTACGCAGTAGTTGAGCAACTGAGTGGCTGTAAAAAACATGAAACTGATTCCACTCTCAGGAGCCTGCAACCGTAACAAGCTATACTGAGTAGTGAACAATGCAATAGAACGATTTTAGTCAAATGAAGCACGTCAGATGAACTAGGTACATTAGCTGAGCAGTGACAGTAGTTCCTGATTAAAACAGACTTTACTACGAAGAAAATTGTAATGGGTGCATCCTGACGGGTTGCACGGTAAGTCACCACTGACGAGAAACACCTTTGGGAAGGATCCTCTATGACAGTAAAACAGACAACAGACCACTGACCAACGTTCCAGCTATTCGCTAATAGTTGTGCCAATAAGACATGGACTTTGGATTACCGGTACTAAAAAAACATCACATAGCCGAAAATAATCCGCTAGTCAAGGTTGGAAAGTGCCAGCTTGCACAAGCGGGATCTAAGTACTTTTCGAAACGTAATCAGAATACAGAAGGAATAAAACAGGTCAGATCGAGGTGTAAGAACCTGCATAACAATCGGAACGGGCGTGACGCGGTTGCTGTAAGCCGAGTGTCAAAGAACAAAATGGTCCTCTTTACGTGGTTCCACCTTGGGATTGGGATATCAAGGTGCTCGCTTCGGTTGAAGCTCATTAAGTTCACCTGATACCGTCTTGCCATCACAGATCAACACTGAATAGGCCAAGACTGTGAAATCTGTGGCAGAACATGATTGAAACGACCGACATTTGTGGAAAACACTGCAGGCACTAAGGATGATTGGAAACGTAGTCGTACCATGCAAGTCATCCCAGACAAGGATACAGTATGAGCTGTTTTAGTACTTGAAACATTGTACGGCTAAAAGCCGATTGACAAACCTGTAAAGTTTTCTGCTGTTCCTGTGTGAATTTCTCGCCTCTTAGTTGTTTCTTCCATAAAACGATGTAATCTCGGACCATGCGCCGGTGTTTCTGAATAAATGCCCAGGACCACATCCGACGCCGTCGCCTGATCGATTCTTCAAGAATTGCAGTATACGCATATCTCCACCTGAACAATAGGATAATATCCAGAATCAGCGCCCGTCGGTGATCTTTTTATTACAAGTCCCTACTCCTCATACTCAGCCTACAGGAAAAACTAAAACATCATGTAAACAACAGCCCAACGGAAGCTGTCCACAGAGATCCGCAGATGCCGTCCATCTCTGAACGAGGCTCCCAAACTACCGGTTGCCATGTGTTTCGTTTAATGAGGTCCTATCTGTGATATGCAGCTACCCTTGAAAGATTAAGGCGAATCAGGGAAGAAAAATTTAGATTATCGATACACTTCATCATCCTTGACAGGAGCACACCAGCCTAAACAATGGTGTCTAAATGTCATGCAACACTGAGGGAAGAAATTTCCAGCATAGCTAAAAGAGAAAAAGGACTGTGAATAAAGTCTAATCTTGTTACCGTTCGACAACAATAAGATCGGCAAACAATAAGATTGTGACAATATTCTACCTCCAGTTATGTTGCTTGATCCAGATTCCTAGCACGGCACACATTTCTGTCAAGTCATTTGTTGTCCACCTCGCAGCTTGCACCATTCTGAAGGAGCCAGGAAAACGGTGTTCCAGCATGCGAGGCAAACAGCCGAGCCACCGCAAATGGATGCTGGATGTTCTCCGCGAATAAAGTACCTGTTGCACAACCAAATAAGCGTTTTCTCTAATTACATCTTTACGAACCCGCTGACGCATTCTGACAGCAGCAACACACCTGAGGCATCGGTGACCGTAAACCTCATGACACCACACATCAACTTCCCGCAGAGGCCATGCTTCACAACCGTACACCAATACAGTCCTTCATGTAGCCTGCTACCACGATCCTCGAGGCGTGGTTAAATGCTTTTTGGAAGCCACAATTAGGACGAATTAGCACTAGCAATTTGAGCTTTTCAAATCGGAAATACGGCGTCATAACACACTTCCATCAGGGCTAATATAACTATCGAGATATGTAGAATTTCTTCACAAACCTCAGTGCTTCTCCGGCAGTGCTTCTTACGGCAGTGAAGCATCGGTGTTGAACACTGATGTCATGCTGTCGATGATGATGATGCTTCCCCTTGAATCGTAAGGGGCAGTTCCTGATGACCAACCGAGTCAAAAGCAAACTGAGATCGAGAAAAACCGTAATTATTGGTCGTCGGAAGAAGTGGTACAGCACTGTCGTGACCCCTACCCAGACAAAACTCAATTTGATTCTCGCGAATCTGACTCTTCAAATGACGGATCAACCCGTGTAGGATAACGCCAGAAAGCATATTAGAAGCTGTGGTCAGTACATTGATGCTCCAGTGTTTTTTCGAACGTCTTCGCTCCTGGAGGAATCACCGTCAAGATGCTCCAAACTGTCGGCGTTCTACATTCCAGATACTCTGGAGTAAATTTGCCAGGACAGCTACGACAAACTCGCCACGTTATCTGAAAAAAGCAGGATGCAAATCACTTGGACCAGGTGCCCTGTTAGATGGAGCAATGAAACTGTACGCCAGACATTCAATTTCGATGACGGGTTGGTACAAACGTTCCAATCGGTTTCATTTTACCATTCGAGGTTGAGTTGATTGTCGCCAACTTAACTTTTCCTCAGTGTTCAGCCCATTGCTCGAAACGTTTCTGTGAACGAAATGGGGTGCGCATTTTTTGGGTCACCTGATTAACATCCATCGTCCTCGGACCAGTTGATCGGATTAGCTGGAACAGTGTGTGATTGTTCCTCGTTACAGCTCGTCCTCGGACCAGTTGATCGGATTAGCTTGAACAGTGTGTGATTGTTCCTCGTTACAGAAAGTTCCTCCATTTCTCTGGCATTTATGATATGATAGAGTTCTCTGTCAATGTTTAGGCCAATTATCCTGCATTCGAGGAATCTGTGCGTGCCATCACAGGCAATTCTTGCTGGTAGAGTTCTCCTAGCTTCAATCGGAGCTGCTGATTGTGACGAGATTGTGCGAGTGACCTCGGGCAGACGGTAAGCAAGGCTGAGAATGGTTTTTTACGCCTCTCTCCAATGGTCATCCAGGCAACCACTATGCCCGTCAAGTTCCGGAAACTTCTCAACTAACTCGGCTAAAGGGTCGATTTACGTGCGGTAAACCGAATACCTCTGCACCAACCGATGTAATCCAGAGAAAAAGCGAAAGGAAGCGTGTACCTGCACAGTACGGGTATCGGTGTCCAGTGGTGTAGCCCAAAATGTACGACAATCTTGCATCGAAGATCTCCACCGATGACTGATTGCCAAATGATCTAATTGAGACGATAATTGGTTGGTGGCCAAGTCACACGGCTGAAAGTTTGTGCTGGCTAGGAATTACCGTTCAGCACATAAATGAATTCATTTCCCATTATCTGTGCGATGAGTGTCGATCCCAAATCGTTCGCAGAAATGGGCTTCCTCAGGACTTAACCAGTTAGACTGAATGTCAGAATCACGGTATCTGAACTTCTTGATGACCGGAGAATGGAATTTGCCTTTCCCAGCCCCAGAGATACCGTCTGTCAAAGTGTACGCCGACACAACAAACGCCGTTTACCACGCCTGGGTGCGTTGATGTTGATTGGGCCAATCAACTTAACAGCTCAAAGGCGAATATTGACTGAAATCTAATCTAATAAGCTATACTCAGCCTTAGGAGTAAGCGCATTTTCCACAGTGTGGAAACCATGAGCCATTGCACTAGGATCGCCAGACAACCAAAGACCAAATTGTGAAGAATCTGGGTTCCGCCGAATACTTTGAGGTGTACGACAGAACTGAGAAAACAGATGGAAAGACTTTGTTTGATGAGGGTGAACCGCGCACATACGGACGGTGGTCCCAGTGGCTGTACCATGTGTGATCCGATAGCGTAGGACAAATAAAGCAACTCGAGTATACGAAAAAAGAAAGCAATCAAACGGTTAGGAGTGATACAACAGCCTACTGATTGCGTAGCACAGCTGTGCAGACTAATACCATCAACCGCTGCTGCGGTAAGCTTCGTTCATGTAATAGCTCAGCCGAAATTCATTGTCTTGCTTCCAAGCTTCGTTTCCAAAATTTGTGTCTCCATCATACGGAATACAGTCGTTATTTGACTGAGATCTTTAACGACCGTCTTTTTTGTACTCTGTAAAAGGGCACCCAGAATAAATGGCAATACCCAGGAAACAAGGGGATGCATCAGGTTCGGAGAGCATTTGAAACGCTACGGTACGGTATCCGAAGTGGTCAACCATCAGCATTTATTGTTAGTGTATTGCGGTATATGATGATGATTCTACGCACACGCAGAATCACATAAGGATATGCCTTAGAGTTAAGTCTACTCGTCTTTCTCATTCCACCACATTTATTTGTCACTTAAGCTGCATGCATAAAATCTGAGCAGCGGGCCAGACCGACAGAATAACTGTGCTTCCATTTTGTTATGCGACGCAATCCAAACTGCCTTTTTATCACAAAGCTTGGTGCCGATTCCCACAAACTTTTGCTTCCATTTGTATGTGTCTTCTGTGAAGTACTCAGCGATCGTTGCACTGTAGGAAAGGATTACCATCATTACTTTTGGCGAACGTTTGTCGTGCACGACTTTTTCAGTCCAATTTTTGGGGGAAGGTTCGACATGAACGACCCTAGTTCGAGGTAAGCTGTTCATACCGTCCGTTAGTTCGCTTTCAGGACGGTACTGCAGAATGTCTTCCGACTCGAATTTCAGCGGATGTCTGAGTGATACACCTTGCACGATTTTCAGCAAAGACAAGTCGGGGACCCGACATTCGTGTCCGTGTCACCCAACGCCAATTGGAGGTGGACTGGTACCACAGATATTCGGATGCACAAAGATGCCATATAGGTCCATGTATCTTGACATCCAAATACATACCGCTAGTTAATAAGTACACTTTTCTCGGACAGCTTGACAAGTTTTTAGAGAATTTTTCCTGGTAGACAAACAATGGGTTACCACTCTGGCATCCGCTTTCATTCCCCAGCCAGAAAGCAGTAAGAAGAGCTTTCTCGGTATAAGCCAGACAGATGACTGCGACAAGTACCTCTAATCATCTTTGGAAATGGGGTCTCTGAAGCTGACACGGTACGATCCAAAGGGTAGGCTCTTACTTGCGGTCAACAGGTGAAAAGTTTCACTAGAACAATTTCTAATCATAAGCTTCACAAAAGTAGCAGCCAAATTATTTAGCATTTGGATTGGTGTTGTTGGCCATTTATCCGACACAGCCAACTCTTCCACTAACTAGTCAAAATAACTGGGAAATTTCCTTATCGAAATCCAGAAAGGCTAAGTATATCATGCTGTACATGGAGCAAGCCAGTCCAGCGCGCAATCACGCTCTGAAGTACCGGTTTTTTGAGGGAATTAGCCGAAGAATAAATCCAATATAAGTTGAAAAATCGACTTGTACCAACTTACCATATACTCGGGTGACCTTTCGTAGGGATTTGCGGGCGGTATTTCCGGTACTTATTTTGAGTGATCATTCTATCCGTTGCATCCAAGAAAGAAGTCACATCATGATATTGAAATAAACTGAAGTTCAACTGGATCTCCGAAAAATTCACATCAAGTTGGACTTGTGGAACCGTGAAATCACTGTCTTCAGGCCGCGTATGGATATGCAACGTAGCAGTTGATGATATTGGTTGTAGCACTATACTATTATCAGAGATATCGGAACTTACAGTAACTGAGTCCCGTTTTCGGATTCTCAGGACTTGCAATGGAGTTCCGCATGGCAGTCTAGGCATGCGTAACAAATGATCAATGTACAACTTACACGAAGTGGGCCCCTCGACTTATTGCTAAACTCTATCGAGTCATGATTCCAGTACACCCCCAAACTATCAAGTTTGACGAGCTGAAAACGTTAGGAACGATAAACTTGACATGCCTTGTAGAATTCCCGAACCGATTCTTCTCTGACAGGAGCTACCTTGTCATGGGGTGTGAAGGTCTAAAACAGCGTGAGAGATGACCCACAAATGCTCACTTTGAAAAATAGGCCACTTAGTGTGAACCCAAGTGAAAATATCTGCCCAGGAATACTGAATCCGTCTTCGTAGCGAATGTGGATGTTCTTTACCTCAACTTGCAAATTCTTAATTATCTGAGCTGCTAGCTTTTCCGCAAACGAATCAGGCTTCGCTTGAACCTTCCGACCTAATGACGACTAGCATACAGGAAATGCAACATGTACCAGCTCTTCCACTTTGTGCTCTGGCCTCCTCGATATCACGCAGTTCCTTCATCTTGGAATCTCTTCGGTAGATCTTTTCTTTTTCTTCATCATATTTTACAGCTATTGTGCAGGTTAGCGGTCGGGTCACATGAAAAATCCTACCGGAATTCGGAACAACCAGCACATAGAGACCATCAAGTTCCGCAACAGTGGGTTCCGTGTACAAGTTTTTGAAGGGAATTTTCAGTGTAAGTGAGCCTACTAATAGAGCGAAACAACACAACCCACTTATGTGGCCCTGAAGAACCTTGACCGGAAGGTTGAGACTATCGAACGCGTTTGGCTTAATATCTAGGTTTTCCAGTTGCGCATTTCCACCTAACAGCCCAATTTTCAACTGAGAAGCATTTAAGGCTTCAATATAATCGCCTGCATATTTATTAATTAAGTCCACAATGAGCGACTCGAAGACCATCCCGACCAGATGGACGACACACGGGGTATGATTCTCCGCTTTCGGCTAGAGACCCAAAAAAAATCTCCATCGCTGGTTGGTTAGAAAGTGTTCGACGGTTACCTAGCTCGGGAGGAAATAGGACAGGACAGCACTTCTTGAACAGGACGGGAAAGTTAGCTTTTCAACAGAGTTTTGATTTAAATTTTCGTCCCCTTCAAATATATGATTCTCCATGGCTGCGCCACTCATCCCCTCCATTTATTCCACGGCGGTTCCCTCATCATTCACGGATTCACAGATTGTTACACAGGATCGTGACTTTCGCCCAAGTTTCCCGGGTCGCTTTTGTTCTTTCGGTCGGCGGCTGTCGTTCACCTGGAAGGCACAAGTGGAAAAAGGGTATAGCACTGCTCTTTATTTTCTCAGCGCCGGGCAG